GAGCAGGGAGCCCGATGCGGGGCTCGATCCCAGGACCCTGGGATCATGACCTGAGCCGAAGGCAGACGCTTAACGCCTGAGCCACCCAGGCGCCCCCGTTTTTTTTCTTCAGCAGAATTATTTAAGGAAAATTTCTAAGAGAAGAATTACTAGCTCAGCAGAATTTATTTCTTTCTATATAAGCCTTATACTCACTCTTCATTACACTGGTATTGATTTCTTTAGTGTATGCTACAGAGTGACAGAAAACCTGTAGATTCCATTAGCTTTATTTTCTTTTTAGTTCATTTTCAAATTAGCACTGAAAAGAGTAGGAAATTAAGATCTGCAGAAGTGGAGAAGGGAACTTACATGGTCTGGTTCTAGCTGGCAGTGTCGAGCCAAGGCATGAAGCAGCCTCTGAATGTAAGCTTTGAAGATTCCATGAATAACTTCATCATTAGTTTTGTACAAATGCTCCCCGAGTCGGTACCAAAAGTTAAAGGAAATTTCTACTACCTGTCAAATTAAAAGAAAAAGAAAAGGGTTATTTGAATCAGAAAAGGAATGGAATATGAAGACAGTTTTATTACTAGAACCATAGAGGAAAGAAGATATAATCTAAAGTAATACGAGTAGAACCAGTTAAGAAGCCACCTGTTCTCCAGCAGATTTATTACTATCCTCCCAAACTAGCTTCCCATGATAGGCCCCAAACTCCATTTACGGTAACTGGGTGTACAGTCCCTCTTTAGCTGGTAACTCTCCAACAGTATGATTCTGAATTTAGAGAAACAGACACAGAAATAGAAGTCTCTTTTAAATATTTTTTCTCAAATCTAAAATCATTTCATGTTTTGAGATTAAAATACCTCTTGACAGGGGCATCTGGGTGGCTCAGTCAGTTAAGCGTCTGACTTCGGCTCAGGTCCTGATCCCAGGGTCCTGAGATAGGGCCCCACATCGGGATCCCTGCTCAGCAGGGTATCTGCTTCTCCCTTTGCCCCTCCCCCGCTCATGCTTGTGCTCATGGTCTGAGATAAAATCTTAAAAAAAGAAAAAAGAAAAAGAAAAAAACCCCACCTCTTGACAGACAAACCATCTGCAAATCCCTGAACATACCAACCTTGTGTCATTTTTACTCACCTACTTTTCTGAGTGGGACTGAAAGGGAAGAAAAAGTCTGGGACTTTATCCACAGCTTATCTTACTTATGGCACTATTTAAAGGAGTGGTAATTATTACATAGTGCTACACTTACTCCCATACATGTTTTGTGTTTCATCCAAATCTAGATATCCTCATGAGATCAGGTCAAACAAATACATTTTTTTTTAATGAATAAGAGAAAAAGAGATGAGAATCACAGAGCCGTGCTCCTCCCTTAGAGGGGCCCTACCATCCTTTTCCCATCAAGGATCCAAAATAGACCGATTTAAAACAATACCCAATTTGGGAGTTCTTTCTCACTTCTTATACTATTAAGAGGAGGTAAAACTTCTTGAATAAACAAGACTTAAAAAAATCTAGCCAACTTTTTTAAGAGGCAGGGTGTTGTAGGGATTTTGGAACGGAGTAGACTTTTAAATCCTTTCAATCCCTTTCTCATTCCCACTCACAATCTGGAGAAAAAATTTTGGATGTTAAGACTTATACAGTTAAGATTTTATGTGGTTTTGTTTTGTTTTTAGCTGTAAAGCTCTAAAAAGAATAACTGGACCTACAGAGGGGGCTCAGTTAAAAGGTAGTAAGCTTTCTTTCTAATGGGTTCCCTGAGGTGCCTACAGCAGTCAGCCCAGCTAACCGGGTAAGAAAATCGAAAAGGATTCAAAGCAGAAACCCAAATATAATTTAAAAAGAAAAACTCTAATACAGAGGAAACCACCACATCACGCTAATCAAAAATAAGACTATAGTTTCCCACAAATAAAAAGCTAGACGGGTGGCAATGGAATATAGGTAATATGCAACAAACAACCTGGAGAAAAATGGGTTTAGCATAATACAAACACTACCTCATATTGAGGATGTCCTGCACAAATAAGCAGCAGTTCCAGAGTTCGTAGGTCACCAAGACCTTGGCCTGGAGTACAAACAATTTTTTCAAGAAAAGTTTCACATAGTTCAGTGAAAATACGGCAGTAATTCAGAACTCTGCAAATGAAAGAGTAATGAGAGCACCAAGTCAGAAATCTGTATATTATATGTACATACTCACAGACATAGTTAATTAAGTAAAAGGATCCTCAGCCTAAGGGACATGTAGTGATTATTAGCTATGCTGTATCAAAATCTCCATAAAAGCCACCTTTCCTTATCATATATTTTTATACATATAAGCAAATCACTCATAAGTCAGTTCAAATTCTCAATTACGAAAACATTTGAATAAAATCCTTATCAAATCACACTTGATACTCCAAAGTTCATCCCTAATTCTTAGAGCCTTATCCTTTGTGAGTGGAAAAAATTACTACGTTCCATTATTCCAACCTCTCCTTCTGCATCCAATTTGCCACTCTAGGTTCATTCGAGAGTAACAGAGCATCTTTAGGCTGTGGTGTCTATATTTACCCAGAGTCTTAAAAAATCACGAAGGATGGAATCTGGGGCTACTGCCTTAAATAATCACTCACTTGTCTAAATCTTCACGTGCCACAGCCATATGATAAGCAGTCTCCAATGTTAGGACTCCTTGAAAAAGCTGCATGGCTAATGGCAAGTTAGTCTCCACATTCTCAATGGCATAGAGAGCTGAGCACACACAATCTGAAGCAGCTTCATGTAGATTGGATGAGGTCTTATCCTGTTGCTGGGAGATGGCAGGAATAGGGAAGATGTTATGATCATTAAGCTGTAATTCAAGTACTAGCAAAACAATTATAGCCCGTTTCTGAACATGTACTTTAAATATATAACAGCCTAACAGTCATGGCCTTCAACCAGACAATATTCATCAATCTTCCCTGTCTTATTTCTATTTCCCTATATGCCAAACAAATCAGCCTTTCTGTACCTCAATCACAGTCACGTGACTTCTAAAATTCCATTTTTTCCCCCCCATACCACCCCTCCAAATGTAATGCCATGTGTTCCCTACACTGTTTTAGTCTGTGAAAATCTTTTCCATCCTTTTTCTGATATTCAAGTACTATTTAAAATGAAAGGGTCTGGGGCGTCTGGGTGGCTCAGGTGGTTAAGAGCCTGACTCTCGGTTTCAGCTCTGGTCATGATCTCATGGCTTGTGGGACTGAGTCCCACGTTGGGTTCCACACTTAGCACTGAGTCTGCCTGCGATTCTTTCCCACTCCCTCCCCATCTGCTCCTCCCCCGCACTGGCACACACTCTCTTTCCCTCAAATAAATAAATAAATAAAATCTTTAAAAAAATAAAATGAAAGGGTCCAACAAGTCTCAAATACCCATACCTACCGAACACATCATCATCATATTTCAGAATACCAAGGTTCAACAGAGGATCCTAAAGCTTCTGGGAATGAGAGAAGGTAACTTTGAAAGGAGCAAAAATCAGTTATTTAGCTTCTCATCAGCAATGATGCCTGCCAGTATACAAGAGAGAAAGGCCTTGGAAATCTTGAAGGAAAAGAATATTGAATCTAGAACTCTATACCTAGTAAACCATCAATCAAGAATAAAAGCGAAATATAAGTATTTCTCAGGAATGCAAAAACTCAAAATTTACTTCCCACATATCTTTCTGAGGAAGGTATCTGAGGAGGTTCAAAAACAATCTAATCCAGAAGCACAGTAAAGAGAAGTTCCAGAACGCCAGCTGGGAAGTAGATCTAAAGAGCAATTGATACAAATTAGAGTAAAGTTTAAAGAGACCTCTAGGGTTTCTACTTAGAAGAGTACAGTTGAGAGGATGGATAAATTTAGTGAAGGCATATTAGTCTTTTATGAATAATAAAAAACAAGGACATTTAGAATCTCCAGGGCGGGGAAAGAGTTAATACAAGCAGGGTTGGGAGAACACAAAGATAGATGCAAATTATTCATTAGCTTATTCTTAGATTGAGAGGTGGATTCAAATATACTTATTATTATTACTGTGTTTTAAAAGTTAAATAAATGTTCAAATTTATTCTTTTGTATATATATCCAGTATAATATTTGTAAAAGCTTTAAAAAAAAGAACTATGGGAGAAAAGGCTATATATCTGTAATAAAGTTGTGGTCCAAACATAAAGCAAACTAAAATATGGCATGATTTTGAATCACTGAATGAATGTAAGAATGAGAATATATTTGACTCTGACTCTAAAACCACTCGTCTTTTAAGTGGCAGAGGGATCCTGACACTGGATCAGTGGAGAAGATAATATAATGCTGGCACACTACTTGGCTTGTTCCTTACCCCTCTTTTAATTCCCAGAAGTAACCACTGTCTTGAGTTTGATATGTATTCTAAGCTGCCTTCACTTCATACGTAATCAAGTGTATTCATAGATTTTTAAAAGATTTACTTATTTCTTTCAGACAGAGAGAGGGCGCGGGGGTTGGGGGGTAGAGGGAGAGGGAAAGAGAGAAAGAGAATCTCAAGCAGATACCCCACTGAGCACAGAGCCCAAAGCAGGGCTCAATCTCACAACCTGAGCTGAAACCAAGAGTTGGCCGTTCAACTGACTGTACCACCCAGGTGTCCCTCATATTCATAAATTTTTAAACAAAAGTGGGATATTAATTTATTTATACTGACTATTCTTCACACAGTTTAGTGAGATGAGAACCAAAATTACCATTACTGAGGTAGGGCATCAATAGACATGGAAACAAAGACAATGACTAGCAAAACAATTATTAGTGTCCTAACTTTCCTGAGTCTTAGCTCCTGATGCAAGAATGAAGCATAAATACACTAACAACAATGAAACACCAAAAATGTCTCCTTGGAGAATGTGCTTTCCTTTTCTTTAATTCACAGTGGTATCAACCCATTATCATGCTACCATCTTCTAAATAACAGTGCACTAACCAGTACACACAGAGCTTCCATACTAATATGACTTCATGGAAAGAGACCATCCAGGAAAAGGAGACAAAATCACTCCCATCTCCAAAGACCTGTTCAATATGTGCTTGAGACATTGCTATGTTTCCTGTTCTAAAAAGTAGTCTTACTCTATGCACTCACTTACTCCTATCTACCAAGACAAAATAATGTATTACTAGGTACTATTATTTTCAAAGTTTATGGAAAACATACACAAGTACATAAAAAGACACTACTTTTTATTCCATTAATCTCAAAAGCCTCAAATCTACCCTATACATACCCTGATGCTTAAATAAATGATCACAACTGCAAAGATAATATTCTGATCTGTAACTGTCTCAAAGACCCAATGACCATTATTATATTTTTAAAACAAGAAAAAAGAGACCACTGGTTTTTTGTTACTTGTTGTTTAATATGTAAATCACTGATCAACATATAAAACTGCTTTCCTATTAAACCTAACTACATTCTATTCTGAGTATTAATATTAATACCTTCATTTGGTAACTTGGTAACAAGGAAGAGACATTGCCGCTTTCTTACTATACACCTTCCAATCACTGTACAGAAATCTGAAAACACTGCTATGTCCCCGAAGGTTAGTTACTACTGTGACTACGTGGTAAAAATACTTTCATAAACAAAGCCATTACTTACCAAAACCTCGAAAAGGAGTGCTAGTAACTTATTGTTCGCCATGAAGTTACTGTCCAAAACTCCTAGGTTAAACCAACTTCCTAAACAGCGAAAGACCTTCATAAGCATTTTCTCATCTGTTCCTGCTTTTTCTACACAGGTCATCTGAAAAGAAGGGAAAAAAAGTTAAATAATGCCAAACTTTAAATTTAAACACTACCATCACCTCTTAGGTGTAATAATGAGGAGGAAAAGAATACTAACAGCTAACAGTTAAAAGTGCTTTGTAAGTACCAGATGGTGCTCTCAATATTCTTAATTCATTAATCCCCACTAAAACTACAGCCAGGTACTATTTCCACTTTCTCAACTGGGAAGCTGAGATACAAAGAGATTGCAGACTTGCCCAAAGATAGTTCTGTTTCAGAAATAATGGTTTCTGGGAGGATGGGTTGGCCTGGTGGTGGGTATTGAGGAGGGCACGTTCTGCATGGAGCACTGGGTGTTGTGCACGAACAAGGAATCATGGAACACTTCATCTAGAACTAATGATGTAATGTATGGGGATTAACATAAGAATAAAAAAATATATATATATACGTATATAATAAATTAATCATAATTTAAAAAAAAAAAGAAATAATGGTTTCTTAGATCCCTCTTCTGCATTAATATAATTGTATCAAAAAATTATCTTCAAGTAATACTCATCTACATAGTTGATTTTACAGAATAAAAACAAGATAGTCCTACTATTGTATATCCCCATATAAAAAGCTGATGTTTCAGCTTCTGCACTCGAATACTCCAGCAAATACACCATTCCACAGAAAGTGACACTACTATAAATATGGTAGGTTGATAAAAGAGATAAAATGAAAAGCCAACTAAAACTCAGCACTGTTTCTCTTTGCAAACTGTTTTTGTGATGTATATTTTTTCCAAAATGAAGTGTAATGCAACTTTTTCTGGATTAAAAAAAAATGTTTAAAAGTAACTTTTACAGGCAATGGGTCAGAAACGTCATAATTGCCATGGGGTTTGTGGTGGGGTACAGATTCCCATAGTGATCTAAATGTTGACTCTTGTACTTCTAGGTAGCCATGCTCCTCCTATATTTGCTGTATCAAGCAATTATGATTATACTCTTCTCAATTAGTTTGAATTGTACTGAACTGAATTGAAAGAAGAAAAACAAGAATGCTTCAAGTAAATTCATGGCAACCACACACATACTTGAATCTTTGAAGCTCTGGATGTAAAGTCATCACACAACTGTTTGGCTTTTATACTTCCTGAACGACATTTCAATTCACTTCCTCTTTAAGAACTGTATTATTAAGAACTCTGTCTCTTAAAGCAATGCCTCAAAGCTGAAACATTTATGCCAGAAGCATTCACCAGTAAAAATAAAGCAGAGGTAAATAAAAACTGATCTTGGATTAACAAAATGAAGACTAAATGAAGGGAGAAAAATATATTAGAGGACAGCCTCAGTCAACTATAAGGGCAAGAAGAATAATATTTAAAACTTTTAAAATTCAACACAATGTTTAGGAAAGGCTCCATTCGAAGAGACCACAAAAGTAAAATACTGACAAAATGGGATGGAATAGAATGAATAAGAGGAATGTGGGGGAAACAATGAAAAAGGTTTAAGAGGCCTTTGGTACCTGGTATTACAGCCAGCCTATTTTTCCTGGCAATTCTGGACTATTTCATTTTCTGGGTTCTGTAACATGACAAGCTACATGACAGAGTTATAGACCTTATTAAGTACCACAGGGACAAATTTTTCAGATTACAACAAATCAAGCTATTGCCTGTTGATTATGAGGAAGTGTTAAGTCAAGCACATGCCGTGGGAGTCCGAGTGGCTACTACACTTGACCACTGCGCCAGTAATGATGCTTATGAGGGCTGCAGTGCTGACTGGATTCTTCTGGCTTCACTTGAGACCTTACAAAAAGAAAATGACAAGCTTGAGTCCCTTAACTCAATTCAAGTCATAGTCTGAGAACCAAATCTTCCACAACCACTCTAAATGAAACTCTTATTTTGTATAGCTCCAGGGCTGATAGTCATACACATAATTTGTGTGGCTTACTGAATTATAAACAACAGCTGAATTCACAATCTCACCAAATTTCTCATGTGAAAGTTAAGAAATTGTAAAACGTGGAATTCTGAAACTTGGAAAAGAGACATCTGGTGTCTGGACCCTAATGAAACACATAATCTTGAACTCCCAAATTATTGAGTCTCCCTTACCAGCAGATGTAGTCTGCCTTCCAGTGTCTGAGAAGAATAGCCTTCTTCAGTTTGAAAGCCCTGTAATAATGTCATCTGAGACAAACGGCTTCATAGGTGATGCCCAATCTCTTCAAGACCTACCACAACCATTTCCTGTGCCACCCACTATGGCCAAATCTTAGCACCTTCTGGGCGGGGGGAGGGGTGGAATGACAGGTATATACAAGAGGAAATAACTTATCAAGAAAACTGTATAACTTTGCTAACATGTATCTGAAGAAACCTGGGGAACATATACAGGAATGATTCTAAGGGTACCAGACCATGGGAGGCTGGAATATACCACTAACTTGAGCCAATCTCATTGATATGAGTGTACTTCCTAGAGATTCTGGATTTAATGAGTATATGGTGCCTCTGGCAAGGACCCAGGAAAATCACAGTGCAAATACTAGGACTTGGGAGCAAATCTATACCTTCTGCAGGTAATTATTCTTTTGAGAAACAGCTTCTGGCTTGCTACCGACCTTGGTAGAAACTGAACATCTATCCATAGGACATCAGGTGATCACGTGGCCTGCGCTTCTCATCATGACCTAAGTACGTCTGAACTACCTAAACATGGGCATGCATAACAGCAACCTGTCATCCAACAGAAATGGAATCCAAGAAACTGAGTTCAGGAAAGTGTAAGAAAGTTGCATGAGCAGGTAGGTCAGATTCCTTTGACACCAACTCTTCTTGCATTGATTCATTTCCCTCAATCCATGCCTATTGCTTCCTGCCTCCTGGATGTTCCTTACAACCTAGTTAACTAAAGAAGAAAACTCTAGCCCAGATTACAGAATGATGTGCACAACATGCTGGTACCACCTGAAGGTGGAGAGCTGCAGACCCATACAGGGTAGTGAAGGACAGTGAAGGACAGTGAAGGACAGTGGTTGTAGTGAAAGGACAGTAGTTGAAGGAAAATCCTAATGGGCAGAACTTCAAGCAGTATAACTGGTTGTCCATGACGTATGGAGTGAGAGAGAACCAAAAATATGGATCTTTACTTATTTATGGACAATTTTCAATGATTTGGATGACCAGGGATTTGGAAGAAGCATGATTAAAAGATTGGTGACAAGGAAGTCTGAGGCAGAAGTATATATAAATGGTATACAAATAGGCACAGACTGTGGAGAAATTTGTCCTATGTGACTACCCACCAAAAGACATCCACTATAGAGAAATCTTTCAGTGACAGATGGACAAAATTAGAAACTCTATAATGTCAGCCCCTTTCCCCAATCACCTTGCTCAATACGCTCATAAACAAAGTGGCCACAGTAGCTGGGACAGAGGCTACACTAGGATTAACATGTTCTTCCACTAAGTTAAAACTACTGATGAGTGTCAAATCTGCCAATAGCAGAGACCAACACTAAGTCCCTAAAATGGCACCATCTACCATGGGGATCAGGTTGATTGATTACATTGAACTTCTATCATGAAGGAAGAAGAGATTTGTCTGGAAGGACAAGGCTCACAGGAAGAAAGAGACTTATATGCTGGATATGGATCTGCCTTCCCTGCTTGCAGTGCTTCTGTTAGCACTGTATCAACCATAGACTCACAGAATGCCATATCCAACCATCATGGCATCCTACCTAATCAAGGAACTCATATCAGAGTAAGGGAAGTACAGTAATGAGCAACTTTGACCTCTGTTGGAGAATCTGATCCCCAAGGAAGGAATGCTTCTACCAGGAAATACAAACATAATTCCAGTAAACTATAAGGTAAGTCAACCACCTGGACAATTTGAGCTTCTTATGCCACTGAACCAATAGGAAAAAGGGGAGGAGGGTGTTAATCTGTAGGCTGGAGTGACTGATCCCAATAACCAAGGAAGAACTGAGTTCCCCCTACACAATCGAAGCAAGGAGTTCTCAGTCTGGAACACAGAGAATTTTCTAGAGAGCTTCTTAATACTTCCATGCTCAACAGTAAAGGTTAATGGAAAACTACAGAAGCAACAACCAAAAAAGGCAGGATTATTGAGGGCTCAGACTCTTTAGGGGAATGAAGGTTTGGGTCACTTCACAGAGTAAAGAACCCCAACCAGCTGAGGTTCTGAGCAAGGCAAGTGTCTTAGTCCATTCAGGCTGCTGTAACAGAATATGATAGGATGGGTGGCTTATAAACAACAGAAATTTATTTTTCACAGATTTAGAGGCTAAGAAGTTCAAGATCAAGGTATCCCCAGATCCAGTGTCTGGTGAGGAACTGGCTACCTGCTTCATAATGAAGGATCTTTTCTCTAGAGTTTACACATGACATAAGAGGAAAGAGAGCTTTCTGGGTTCTCTTTTATAAGGGCACCAATCCCATTCACGAGGGTCCCATACTCATGACCTAATCACCTTCCAAAAGCCCCACCTCCTAATACTACCACACTGGGCACTAGGTTTCAACATATAAATATATAATTGTGGGGGGGGCACACAGGCAAATATTCAGTCCATAGCAACAGATAAATTTTGGTGGGGGGAGGGGGAAGGGGGGAGACACACACACAAATATTCAGTCTACAGCAGCAGGGGAAAGAAGAAACGAGTTGTGCAAGAAAGCCATAGATATCAATTCTAGAACTCTTCTGACCAATAGATAAATGAGGGCTGTAGTAGCTCTGCATACTTCCTATTTGCTTGTTATGCCATTGCACACAAGTTTTTTGCTTTTGTTTTTGTTTTTTTAAGATTTTTATTTATTTGAGGGGTGCCTTGGTGGCTCAGTCGTTAAGCATCTGCCTTCGGCTCAGGTCATGATCTCAGGGTCCTGGGATTGAGCCCCGCATCGGGCTCCCTGCTCAGCGGGAAGGCTGCTTCTCCCTCTGCCACTCCCCCTGCTTGTGTTCCCTCTCTCACGGT